AACACGATTGGATGCTATGACCACAGACATTATTCATTATGATTTTTAATGATGACAACACGAACTGGTAATGAAAAAAATAATTTTGATTTTTGAGTCTCTGTAATGGATTTGATTTATATTAATTTCATCATCATTGTGTTATAGTGCTGATTAAAAATCACTTGTTTGCATTTTATGTATTTGATAGCTTTAGAACTATTTATATATATATATTTATATATGTATGTATAGATAGATAGATAGATTTAGATATATAACTTTGATATAATAATTTACTATAAAATTTTATTTTGTTTACTCCTAAATAGTTTGAATTACAAATATTTTTAATATGTTGAAATTTAGGGATGTTTTTTTAAAGTATTAGCCAACAGAATTGATGGCGATGTGTAATATCATGATATGCCCAAGTATTGTCTATTGTAAATCACTTTACATGCACGTATGGCCTCACTGATAAACACATATTCTACCTTGAGGTTCTCAAATGAAGCTAAAAACTAGCTGTAATTGCCATAGAAACTTCTGTCGTCATCTGTGACGAAGACCTTGGCAACTGTTAAAAAATCCAGCGTATCACTTTGTTCCTTGTAACAATGCAAGAGTAAGACATTGTCCAGCGTCTGCTGTGTCATAGAGATACCTCCTCTCCCATATTTTAAAACCTGTGGGGGCATCGACCCAAGTAGCCCCCCCCCCCCTCAACCCCCATGGCTTCGCCGCCTATGTACAGTACTTTGATATAATCACTTAACCTTGTCATTGGCCGTTAGTTGTGCATCGTGCAATCACATGGATAGCTTGCTACTTGTTACAAGTTAGTATGGAAACACTTACTGTTATATTTTTATTTTCAAACTTGTAGAAAGATGTAAAGTTTTCATTAATATAACAAAATTGAATAATCGATCATCTACCTGCAGCAACACATGTTTCTATCCAATAAAACACCAGCTTTAAAAAAATACTCGTGCACTCGATTGAGCTATAACGCACACGTTGAAATAATTTAGGTAATGAGTTTGTAAAATAGTTTTTGTTTTTGTTATGTATTGCATCTGGTAAATCATGGATTTGTGCATGTGGGTTTTATATCACCATACAACATGTAGAATATAAATATGTTGGTAAAATGATGTATGGATTTGTTTCTAGGTTACCAAAATGCGGGTTCGTTAAACTATACTGCCGGGATGTGGGTTTATTACTAGGTTACCAGAATATGGGTTTGTTATATCTAGAATGTAAACAGAATGACTGTTGTTGAGTTTCTATAAAAATAATAATAAGACGGCCGATCTTCCATTTTTCTCCTACGTTCTTCATGTTGTTCGCACGTGCATTATGACGTTTATTTCGGTTATCTTATATTTTATGTATTCAAAGTTAATACTTGAAATTTTATTCACCAAACTGTCTACTTGATATTAAATATTATATGACGATATTGCTTGGACCAGAGGCGTCATTGGAGAGGGGGGGGGGAGGAAATGGAAATTTCTATTAGACATTTTTGTATATTAATACATACACTCAAATTACGCCATAACATAGGGCTTCCAGTTGAATTGGTCCATGCGAGAACAGTCCCAAGCCTTTAAATGACACTTCTTTGGAAACAAAGTCCTTTAACTCTAATTGTTTTCACAATTCAAGACTTGTTTTTCAAGGTCTTTATTTTCTTAACACATATTCTATGTAATAAAATACAATAAGTAGGTAAAATAGTTTTAATTTACTTGTAGCAGACACAAAGATACGAAATATTCAATCTTTTCACTGAAGTATACAAAGTAAGTTCGTACTTTAACTTATTTATCCGTTTTCATATTTTTCATTAAATTCACGTTTTACGTAACAACGAAGCTTGAGGTTACTGATTTTACTCTATAGGCCTAACTGTATTTTAAACATGCATGTTTCATTTCAACAGAATCATTGTCGTAAAAATCGAAACTTTAATCGTTTTTTTTATCTGAAAATAACAAAAGAGTCATAATATTATAATTTGGATCGAGATAGAAATATTCATTTAATAAAAATTGAAAACAAATTTATTTGACGAGATTTTATCAGTCGTCTTGCATTCCATGATTTTAAATCTTAAAGATAATAAAAAATTAAAGTGACAATGCATTTAACAAAGTTAGATGGCGCTATACAGTTTATTTTAAATTTTTAGTCTCTTTATTATAGATATGAGTTGATTGCAGTGAATTTTAACTTTTCTGTTCTAAAATGCCACAAAGGTCAGTTTCGCTGTTTTTAACACATACTTTATATTTAAATCCGCTGTTGCAGAATAACAGGTCTCCAATCTTCTCAGTCCTTGATTAACGGTCTACGTAAATTATTTCGGAAAACCGACACTGGGTGCTCTAGAATACAGCTTTATCATTCCTTTTAAATATTTTTTAAAGTTGGCTTTGGTCAGATCATACCCCCTGGTGTCTTGATGTAGAGTCTTGTTCTGTCAGGCTGAAAGAAAAAAAATATTTAATAATGTGAAATAAACGTCGTTCATCGTTTAAAAATTAATTTTTCTCCAACAACTGCTGAGAGTCTGATGGAGTAATGTTTTGTTTTTTTCTCTAAGAAGCTAGTAAGTGTCGTATGTACAAGATATCTTTCCAGTTTCATTTTGTTTTTTAATTATTTCTAGTCAATTCATCTTCAATTTTATAAACACAGAAATATCAGGAATCGTATCTATACAGCCTTTAAAATGGGTTGCCTTCAGATGTAGCTGATTTAATTAACTTAAAGGCGTTTATAGGAAGGCTTGAATGATGGATACTGGCTTTAGTGTTTTATTATTATTTTAGAGTTTAGTATAAGGGATTGAACGACAAAGATGGACTAACAGGTCCTTTTGTTGTCCTTAAATTATATGTGTATATTTAGGTGTTTACCTGGCCAACCACCCTGTTAGAAAAATGAAGCTATCTCAGCTGAAAATTACTTCTTCCCTGTCAAAATGTATACTTTGGTCCCCTAGTCCTACTATTCTCACAATTAAGTACTAAAGAAAATCATGCATCAACACTACCAAATCCCCTTTACAGTCTTAAGCACTTCAATCAGATCCCCTCTGACTCTTTTTTTTTTTTCAAGAGAAAACAATTTCAGAGATCTTAACCTGCCCACGACAACATTTCCATCCCAGGTATTATCCTAATAGCCCTCCTCTGAACATTTTCCAATAATTCAATGTTCTTCCTAAGGTACCTAGCCAATGACCTATACCATGGAATCATAAACCCTTTAGACCCGTATTAAATATTTTTGTAGATACAGCCTAAAGATGTTTTATATGTAGGTATTACTATGGCAGAGTGATAACGTTTCATCCGAGATTTTGACCTCATTAAAGCTGCGTTTCCTCCACTTTTATATTTTAATGTAAGATAACAACTATTCTCTCAGATCGATTGTCTTTTTAGTTAATATATTCAAATCTTATAATTTATAGGACTGGTAGCCAGAATTCAACAGCACCAACTATCTTGCACCCTCCCTGGTGCTAGTAGACGTCACCATAAGAATTAAATAAATAAATAGTTCAGTAACTATAAGATGCTCTGACCTACCACAAACATTGGTACTCCTGTGGAAATGATAACACGGAGCATTATATATTCACTGCTATGTTAGAAATTTTTCGCTGGGGACAATCTTGTCCGATAAAAATGGTACAGTTATCTTATTAGAGTAGGAACGTAAAAGTTTTATAACATTTCAAAATAAATCTATTCCAAAAAACATTCACTCAAAATCATAATATTAAAAACCCAAATAGAAGTACTAAAAGTTTCAAGAATCAGTTTTTCAGAATTCATTCCAAGAGTCATTTTCTGAGCCATCAAAGATCTAAACAAGATACAGTAGAATGTGATTTTAATGTACATATATTAAACGTTTTCAAATAAATTAGTATGCTAATAATAGGTCATAATAAAGGCTTTCACATACAACTTAAATATATTCGTATTCTTACTTTGGACAGAATATCTGCAACAACAACAACAAAATTAATCAGAATCATGGAGAACTCGACAACAGAAGACTTGCATATAGGTGCGTGACTAATCAGAATCACGGAGAACTCGACAACAGAAGACTTGCATATAGGTGCGTGACTAATCAGAATCTCGGAGAACTCGACAACAGAAGACTTGCATATAGGTGCGTGACTAATCAGAATCATGGAGAACTCGACAACAGAAGACTTGCATATAGGTGCGTGACTAATCAGAATCATGGAGAACTCGACAACAGAAGACTTGCATATCGGTGCGTGACCTGATTACTTCTGTTGTCGAGTTCTCCATGATTACTTGCATATAGGTGCGTGACTTTTATGTTTAATCGAAAATAGCTTCTGATCAAAAGAGAGCTCAATCTATCGGTCAGAACTGAAATATAACCTATAGATTATTGAAACAAGATTAGTAGTATATAATCTCATAAATCAATATATAAGAACACTAAAACCAATAATGATTGGAATGCATTGATTCATCAGTCGGGTACCCTGGCTATTACCTGTTTTCAGCCATGAGAAACGACCATAATTAGATCTACTTTTCCAAATCAACCTACCGGTAGAATAGTGAACCAGCAAGTAAGATCTTCGGATACTGTCATGACAGCCCCTGCATTATCAAACTCTCCGCAGTAGTTCGGGGCACTGAATATCGTTACCAGCTGAAAATATAATTATTGTTGTTTTAAAAATTGCACGTCAAATTTGATTTTCAATACACTGTTTGTTTGTATATTGCTAAGCGCATAGCTGCACAATTTGATATCCGTACTGCGCTCAACGCGGGAGCCCGGCATGGCCAGGTGGTTAGAGTACTCGACTCGCAGTCTGCGGGTCGCGGGTTCGAATCCCCGTCACACCAAACATGCTCGCCCTTTCAGCCGTGGGAGCGTTATAAAGTGACGGTCAATCTCACTATTCGTTGGTAAAAGAGTAGCCCTAGAGTTGGCGGTGGGTGGTGATGACTAGCTGCCTTCCCTCTAGTCTTACACTGCTAAATTAGGGACGGCTAGCTCAGATAGCCCTCGTGTAGCTTTGCGCGAAATTCAAAAACAAACAAACAATCAACGCGGGGATCGAAGTTTTGAGCTAGAATCAACATGTTCTACGATAATACCACCTATCAGTTGCGAATATGCCTAACAAGTTAATATCAACGTCTAAAATATCCAAAGTCCAAACAGTTCCTTGGTTTCTGGTGCTAATAACTTTAGTATTCAAACAAAAGGGCGGGAAAATACCAAATATTTATTATTTACTGTCCTCTTTTCTTAACTTTAAAGTATTATTTATTCTAATTAGTTGTTTTAATGAAAATACGAGATATTTTAACTGCTTTTAATAACTGATATAAAACAAATTGAACATTGTCGCCAGCATCAGAAAAAAAAAAAAACCTAAGGACTTTCCCTTTTGTGGAAAGTTAAATTATTCAGAAAA